CACTGGGCAACTTCTTGGGTTGGATGTTGGCAGTGTTCTTGAAGTTACCAACTGTTTCCCCTTTCCAGTATGATGTTTCCTTACTTTTTCCTTTTCGTTTCTCCATTTTTGAATCCTTCAGCATTGCCCTCCTAAATTCATCGCTGTTTCGGTTGCTAAAAATCGCAGATGAGAGAGGAGGATGAGGAAATTGAAGCTGATGGTGCTAATTACCAGCTGGAAATGATGAGATGCCTGAGGGAAGTTAATGTTGACAACAATACTGTTGGATGGTATGTATGATGAAGATGACACTTTTCGTATGTGATACCTGCGCTTTTAGTGGTTTGTTTAATGTGATGAAATTTTGGTTCAAGACGTTCTTTCTTTGTAATAATTTCTCCTACTTATGGGATAATTCTCCGTATCCAGGTACCAATCTACATTGCTCGGCTCCTTTCAGACTGTGGAACTTATTGAAACCTTTATGAATTACCAGGTAGCGAATGCTTGTCAATTTATTTATTTTTTCATAATTTTGCTTCAGCTGGGATTTCATGAAAATGACGTTATGCACAAATGCTCCCGTAGTTTGATATTTACAATAACACGCCTCTCATGACTATTCTACTTGGGTCAAATGAAGCCATTATTAGGAGGTTATTACTATATCATAATAACCTGTGAAACTATAAATTGATAATGCCCAACTGGCCAACACAGGATACGAGGTGCATCACCTAGGATTTGAACTTCTGAGTGGTTACCTATTATGAATTTATGATCATGTGGCACCATGCCATTCTTAACCAATTGTGTCATATACGAAAGTTACCCGTTATGATTCATTGGGAATATTATGCATGCCTAACTGTATTATTTTTACAAACATGCTTATCATATTGCTTCGAATTAGAATTAGTCTTTTCTGAAATCAGGGAAGTTGAGTGGAGTATGTAGAATGACAAACATACCCAATGTTTGTATATAACTAGATGACGTGAATGCCATGCATTTTCCAATGTTCAGGTTTCCTGTTACTTCAATTTATTGTAAAAATGGCTGCTAGTGAATTCTGATATTTAAAATAGAAAATTGTTTTTGATGCAGTCTGTTGTGCACTTTTTCTTTTCTCTTGGCTGAAGACAATATTTTCAACAGTATCAAGTCCGATGAGTGACCTTTTGTTTCAAACTTACCAATGTTTTTCAGGAGAATATTAGACGTTGTGTTTGCATAATATATGATCCATCAAGGTCTGATCAAGGTGTTCTGGCTCTGAAGGCCTTGAAGCTTTCTGACTCATTCATGGAACTCTATCGCAGCAATAATTTTACTGGGGAGAAGTATGAATTTTCTTCTGTGTCTTGTTGTCTAAAAGTTGAACCATTTGATTTCTCACCAATGTTTTTCAGGAGAATATTAGACGTTGTGTTTGCATAATATATGATCCATCAAGGTCTGATCAAGGTGTTCTGGCTCTGAAGGCCTTGAAGCTTTCTGACTCATTCATGGAACTCTATCGCAGCAATAATTTTACTGGGGAGAAGTATGAATTTTCTTCTGTGTCTTGTTGTCTAAAAGTTGAACCATTTGATTTCTCATTTTTCTGTCTTGTGAAATAGATTGAGGGAGAAGAATTTATCATGGGTGGATATATTTGAGGAAATACCGGTAAGTTTTTTCAGGAATTTGCCTTTCCTTTTTGGGTGGTTGGACCAATTGAATGTTAATAATCTTCTTCATATCTGTTAATGCAACAGTTAGGAATGAGCTAGAAATGCTACTGGCATTAAGATGAATACTATTGTTGCATATTTTATTGTATGGAAGTGTATTAATTTTGGTTTTGAATTATTTTTTGGTAGTTTTTTTTATTAATGTTGACCATCAATTTTTTTTAATATATCAGATCAAAGTTTCAAATTCTGCCCTTATCAGTGCTTTCATGACTGAGCTGGAACCTGATACTCCTGTCACCCAGGTGAACAATGATTTTTATTAGGGATTCTTTTGGTCATTTTAAATTTATTTTATGTTTACATCTGCTTTTGTGCCATTGCAGTGTGATTATGACCGTCTGCAATTGTCAACCAGTTCATTAATGGAGAGGAATACGGAGTTTTTGATAGAATGCATGGATGACTTGTCACTAGAACAACAAAAGGTTATTTTAGCTCTTTTTGTGCGTGGGTGTTTCGTTCTTTCACAATGTAACTAACTGAACTTTCTTCTATCTTAGTTCCAATTCTACTATAGGAGTTTGTCTCGTCAACAAGCTCAGCAGCAAGCATGGCTCCAAAAGAGAAGGTACGCTTAAGATTGCCCTTGAACTAGAATCTTCAAAAGTAATAACTTCATTATATTTTCTTTGTAAGACTAAGATTCATAGATCAGCAGTTAGTTTTTTATGTTCTTTGAAGATGGTCAGCGTTTGAATGGAGGATTTTTGTTCACTAATGATTTTGTTTTTGTTCAGATTCCATGTCTTTGAATATGGGTTTTCTAATTGTTTTAGATTCTGTTTATTCTCATGATTTATTGAATACTTTGTGAAATCTACATACATAGCCATTTAGTATCAGATTTCCATTTTAGGAAGTTACAATGTGCTTCATAGTGGGTGGCCAATCGGCATAATCCACCAATGATTTAAATATCGTTGTTAACAAATAAGAATATACCCACCTTTTTGGTTTTTTTATGAAAAAACCCTCTACCCACAAAATGGAAACTAAGGAATTAGTACCTTAGTTTTACACAATAACTTGTGATTACACCTATGATTAAACTGATTTAACAATGATTTTTGCAAATAAAAAGCTAGCACATGAATATGGGTTGTAAGCTTTACAGAATTTTTCAAATTAGACGTTTTAAATTTTGTACCAGGATATATTTTTGTTCGTTACTATAATTAAACTGTAATTTACATGAAAAACAAGCATTTTTGTATTTCTAAAATTGACTCGAGTTGAACAATGACAGCTGAAAAGATCCTATACTCGAAGCACTGGTTTTTACGTTTGATACATAAATACCTTGATATTTTTTTAACCATTTTCTGCTTTCTAGTCAAGAACTTTGTTAGACTATTATACCTTTCCAGAATTTCAGAAGTAAAGACCAGTCCGCAGAACCATTTAATTGGATTGGATGAATACTATACATTATGTTTTTCTCAGTGCATGTCATTAGACAACTTATAATCTCCATTGTTATCATAGTTGTGTGAATCTCAATTTTATCCACTGTTAATTTAGCACCGGAGGTAATAAGCACAATAGTTTATTGGGAAGAATTGTGACCTGTGATTCCTTTGAATTGCTACTGAATCAGCAGAATAGCAGTTTTCCTGTGTCATGCACTTTTTCTCTATTTCTTAGTTTTTGGTAAGTTTTAAATGAACTGTGGTTGAAAGGATAAACTTTTACACCTAATCATACAGATTCAAAATATAAGGACAAGAAACTCAATTATTATATTTTTGAAATGGTCCCCTCCCTCTACATCTCTCTCATTGCATGTGCTATGGGTATGATATGATGATCAATGTATTATATGTTAGGAAATAGTGATTTTCTGTTTTTTCTTTTGGAGGGGCTGGACCATTGCCATCGTAATACTTTGCTTTATGCTTTATCGTTTTTTATTTTCTCATATCCCATATCCAATCAATGATAAATGTATGTTTGGTAATTGTAGCACAATTTTTAACTTTTATTTTCAACCGAACATTATGGAAATCCAGCAGTGTTTGAATATTCACAGGCCTGATTAACAATTTTATCATTGGCTGTCTTTTTATATTTTAAGCACACCCATGAAAATTAATGGTAGCAATAGATAGCTTATCCCTTGTTTTCAAATATTGTTTATGCATATTATATATTTTTGTTTTTATAATAATAGGGCGGAGAACATGGCTCGTAAAGCTGCTGGAGAAGAGCCCTTGCCGGAAGAAGATCCTTCAAATCCCGTTTTCAAGCCCCTCCCCGAGCCATCACGGTTGGAGAGCTTCCTCATAACAAATCAAATTTCCAACTACTGTAATCAAATCAATGGGTACGTGATGATGACCGTGCTCCTCTTTTTTCATGTTTGAGGAGCAAATATACGAAGTTACCGATTTGAAGTTTCTGACTTTATTTTATTTCTTGTCATTGTCTTCTCTAGCCGATTGAGTTTAATCTTCCATACATTCTGTTGCATGTTCTGCAGGGTGTCAGGGCAGAGCTTTAACAGGCTGTATTTGATGAAGGCTTTGCATGAAGATTGAGAAGGCAATTTTTGTCTGCCATTCTTGTGGTTTAGTCCAATTTCTTTTCCATATAGTACCAAGACTTTTCTGGTGAATTTGGTAGTATATTAGAGGATTATGATTTTAAGGCGACGCAATTTTTGTTTATTTTTTAACCCATCCATTATATATGCCTGTATAATCTGTTCTTTGGAGATACATGCTGAGCCACGTGTTATTTGAGTTATGCCACAAAATTGAGCATCCAGTTGTATTTACCAGCTAATTCATTATTTTTGTGGAAAATATAACACCTTTAAGGAAAATAAGGAGGCTCCTTGAGTTGAAGTTAACAATGCTCGCACTTTCTTGTATTTAATGGCAGAAAATTACTTTTTTGAAAATCCAAGTGGGGTTACCTTGATTTGAATGGGGTAGTAATAGAAACATTTTACATTTTGTGGAAGTCTTCACGATTGGTTGGAAATTACTGATTTTATTGGGTATAGCTAAATCCTAACCATTCATAAAAACAAACACAAAAAAGAAAGTATAGCTAGCATTCTTCTTCTGCGTATGTTGCCGGATTAAAGTTACGTCTATAACAATGCGTAAGTTTTGGTTCCTCAATTCCATTTTCTTACCTGGTAAACTTTACTTTCCGAGAACTCACGCTGTCCTCTCCGATGAATAACGTGGCTAAATTGATGTTGTTTGTAACAGGATTAAAAGTTGGGTAAATGAAATCCGTAAAGCTTGTCATAAAAAGAGAAATCAAGAGTTGAGAATAACGGATTTATATAGCAATATTTCCATTTATACGAGGAAAATCTGCTTGTACTTAAAAGAACAATCAACATAAACCAAATGGCTACTAAGGAAAATGAAAAGGATACACAACATAAAGAGAAAAAAAAAATCTTAGTAGTTAACAGATATTTTTCTATATGACAAGCTAGTTCATCAGAGAAGCATATCGCATCAAAACACTTCCATCCTTTGAGGAACTGGTGTTTTAATGACCTGCAGTATTTGCACCACTTCAGCCATAGTTGGCCTGCTAGAAGGAATCTGAGAGGTGCATACCATTGCTAGCTTTAGAACAGGCAATACCTCATCTTCTGGGTACTCATTCATACTTTGATCCACACACTCCAACACATTACCTTGCTCAAGCAGCACCCTCACATGGTCATTCAGTATAAGCACATTGTCTTCACCATACTCCACTGGCCTCCTACCTGTCACCAGCTCAAGGATCATCACCCCAAAACCATACACATCACATTTCTCATTCACCCTTAGGCTCTGGCACGCCAATTCTGGTGCCACATATCCTAATGCACTCTGAAACCTATTGCTCATCACATGCCTGTCTAGCTTTGTCAGAAGCNATGTGCTTCATAGTGGGTGGCCAATCGGCATAATCCACCAATGATTTAAATATCGTTGTTAACAAATAAGAATATACCCACCTTTTTGGTTTTTTTATGAAAAAACCCTCTACCCACAAAATGGAAACTAAGGAATTAGTACCTTAGTTTTACACAATAACTTGTGATTACACCTATGATTAAACTGATTTAACAATGATTTTTGCAAATAAAAAGCTAGCACATGAATATGGGTTGTAAGCTTTACAGAATTTTTCAAATTAGACGTTTTAAATTTTGTACCAGGATATATTTTTGTTCGTTACTATAATTAAACTGTAATTTACATGAAAAACAAGCATTTTTGTATTTCTAAAATTGACTCGAGTTGAACAATGACAGCTGAAAAGATCCTATACTCGAAGCACTGGTTTTTACGTTTGATACATAAATACCTTGATATTTTTTTAACCATTTTCTGCTTTCTAGTCAAGAACTTTGTTAGACTATTATACCTTTCCAGAATTTCAGAAGTAAAGACCAGTCCGCAGAACCATTTAATTGGATTGGATGAATACTATACATTATGTTTTTCTCAGTGCATGTCATTAGACAACTTATAATCTCCATTGTTATCATAGTTGTGTGAATCTCAATTTTATCCACTGTTAATTTAGCACCGGAGGTAATAAGCACAATAGTTTATTGGGAAGAATTGTGACCTGTGATTCCTTTGAATTGCTACTGAATCAGCAGAATAGCAGTTTTCCTGTGTCATGCACTTTTTCTCTATTTCTTAGTTTTTGGTAAGTTTTAAATGAACTGTGGTTGAAAGGATAAACTTTTACACCTAATCATACAGATTCAAAATATAAGGACAAGAAACTCAATTATTATATTTTTGAAATGGTCCCCTCCCTCTACATCTCTCTCATTGCATGTGCTATGGGTATGATATGATGATCAATGTATTATATGTTAGGAAATAGTGATTTTCTGTTTTTTCTTTTGGAGGGGCTGGACCATTGCCATCGTAATACTTTGCTTTATGCTTTATCGTTTTTTATTTTCTCATATCCCATATCCAATCAATGATAAATGTATGTTTGGTAATTGTAGCACAATTTTTAACTTTTATTTTCAACCGAACATTATGGAAATCCAGCAGTGTTTGAATATTCACAGGCCTGATTAACAATTTTATCATTGGCTGTCTTTTTATATTTTAAGCACACCCATGAAAATTAATGGTAGCAATAGATAGCTTATCCCTTGTTTTCAAATATTGTTTATGCATATTATATATTTTTGTTTTTATAATAATAGGGCGGAGAACATGGCTCGTAAAGCTGCTGGAGAAGAGCCCTTGCCGGAAGAAGATCCTTCAAATCCCGTTTTCAAGCCCCTCCCCGAGCCATCACGGTTGGAGAGCTTCCTCATAACAAATCAAATTTCCAACTACTGTAATCAAATCAATGGGTACGTGATGATGACCGTGCTCCTCTTTTTTCATGTTTGAGGAGCAAATATACGAAGTTACCGATTTGAAGTTTCTGACTTTATTTTATTTCTTGTCATTGTCTTCTCTAGCCGATTGAGTTTAATCTTCCATACATTCTGTTGCATGTTCTGCAGGGTGTCAGGGCAGAGCTTTAACAGGCTGTATTTGATGAAGGCTTTGCATGAAGATTGAGAAGGCAATTTTTGTCTGCCATTCTTGTGGTTTAGTCCAATTTCTTTTCCATATAGTACCAAGACTTTTCTGGTGAATTTGGTAGTATATTAGAGGATTATGATTTTAAGGCGACGCAATTTTTGTTTATTTTTTAACCCATCCATTATATATGCCTGTATAATCTGTTCTTTGGAGATACATGCTGAGCCACGTGTTATTTGAGTTATGCCACAAAATTGAGCATCCAGTTGTATTTACCAGCTAATTCATTATTTTTGTGGAAAATATAACACCTTTAAGGAAAATAAGGAGGCTCCTTGAGTTGAAGTTAACAATGCTCGCACTTTCTTGTATTTAATGGCAGAAAATTACTTTTTTGAAAATCCAAGTGGGGTTACCTTGATTTGAATGGGGTAGTAATAGAAACATTTTACATTTTGTGGAAGTCTTCACGATTGGTTGGAAATTACTGATTTTATTGGGTATAGCTAAATCCTAACCATTCATAAAAACAAACACAAAAAAGAAAGTATAGCTAGCATTCTTCTTCTGCGTATGTTGCCGGATTAAAGTTACGTCTATAACAATGCGTAAGTTTTGGTTCCTCAATTCCATTTTCTTACCTGGTAAACTTTACTTTCCGAGAACTCACGCTGTCCTCTCCGATGAATAACGTGGCTAAATTGATGTTGTTTGTAACAGGATTAAAAGTTGGGTAAATGAAATCCGTAAAGCTTGTCATAAAAAGAGAAATCAAGAGTTGAGAATAACGGATTTATATAGCAATATTTCCATTTATACGAGGAAAATCTGCTTGTACTTAAAAGAACAATCAACATAAACCAAATGGCTACTAAGGAAAATGAAAAGGATACACAACATAAAGAGAAAAAAAAAATCTTAGTAGTTAACAGATATTTTTCTATATGACAAGCTAGTTCATCAGAGAAGCATATCGCATCAAAACACTTCCATCCTTTGAGGAACTGGTGTTTTAATGACCTGCAGTATTTGCACCACTTCAGCCATAGTTGGCCTGCTAGAAGGAATCTGAGAGGTGCATACCATTGCTAGCTTTAGAACAGGCAATACCTCATCTTCTGGGTACTCATTCATACTTTGATCCACACACTCCAACACATTACCTTGCTCAAGCAGCACCCTCACATGGTCATTCAGTATAAGCACATTGTCTTCACCATACTCCACTGGCCTCCTACCTGTCACCAGCTCAAGGATCATCACCCCAAAACCATACACATCACATTTCTCATTCACCCTTAGGCTCTGGCACGCCAATTCTGGTGCCACATATCCTAATGCACTCTGAAACCTATTGCTCATCACATGCCTGTCTAGCTTTGTCAGAAGCCGAGCTAACCCGAAATCTGAGATCTTGGGGTTGCAATTTTCATCTAGCAGAATGTTACTTGGCTTTATGTTGTAGTGGATGATTGGTGGACGGAAAGAATGGTGCAAATGAGCAATCCCTTTTGCTGTTCCAAGCAAAATTTTGAACCTCATAGGCCAAGAAAGAGGAGGACTAGAAGGAAGCCTCTCATGTAGCTTGGCTTGCAAGCTACCATTTGGTGCAAACTCAGTTACTAAAAGCTGTAATTGAGGAGTCCAATAATATCCTTTCAATGCTATTAGATTTGGGTGCCTTGCTTTCCCCAGGATTCTTACCTCCCTGTCAAAGTCTTCTGGATATTGGATTATGTTTGTGGATATAAGCTTCTTGATTGCGACCATTCTACCTTGTGATCCCAATGGAACCTTGTAGAGGGTTCCAAAGACTCCTTCTCCAATCTCTGATGCCTTGTTGAGCAAGGACTCAGGATTGCTGATCCAATCAGGTGAGGACTGGGAATCAAACAGGATTAGCTTTCCTGTGGCTGGACTCCCTGATCTTGAAGAGCTTGAGCACATGCTTTCCAAAGCATTATCCACAAATGATAGCCTTCTCCTCACAGAAACATTAAGCAGGCTAACAGCAATCACTCCTAATACAATCACAAAAGATGCAGATATCGCTACAATGGCAGATACGCTAAGAAACCTGTGCCGGTGGACCGATCCTGACTCAGATGATTCGTTTCTTTGCCTTTGAGGGCTTATTTGGTTGTTATATGCATTTGGGTCAAGCACCAGTGGCTTGGGGACATTCATCTTGCACGGACCCTGCAACAAGGGTGAGCATAGACCCAGGTTTCCTTCCAAGGAACTTTTGTCCAAGTTCTGAAATGTTCTACCTGTAGGAAGCCTGCCTGTGAGCCTGTTGTATGATATGTTCACAGCAAGTAGATTCTGAAGCATTCCAAGCTCCATTGGTATCTCTCCACTTAGTTCATTGAATTCCAGTTTCAGGATTTTTAGCTTGTTTATCTTTGACATGGACTTCGGAATTGAACCAGTCAAGTTATTGTGAGACAAACTCCTGCATAAAAGTAGAACAAATTAGTATCTTCCAAAAAAGACGTGCACCAAAACTAAAACTTGGGCTTCAGAAATAGGATGCTTACAGCAAGTAAAGAGAGCTGCAATTCCCAATCTCTTCTGGAATATTCCCTTGCAATGAATTTCCATCTAGTTGGAGGACAGCTAAATTGCCTGAGTCGCATATATCTGCTGGAACTGAACCACGCAAGCCACTGTTTCGAATATCCAAAACTGCTAGATTCTGAAGGAGGCCAAATTCTGGAGGCATCTGTGATTGAAGATCATTCCAAGACAGATTCAAATAGCTTAGTTTTGAAAGAAGACCAGTTTCTGCAGGGATATTCCCGTGGAGATGGTTATCTGAAAGATCCAAGCTGGTTAGAGTTTCCAAGAGCCTGCTAGATCCTGCTGGAATTGAGCCACTCAATTCATTGCGGGACAAGTCTATTTCCTCCAATCCTAGGCCAAACAAACCCTCTGGAATGCTGCCATTGAAACCATTGCCTCTGAGATGGATCACAGATAACTTCGTGCAGGAACTTAGTGATGATGGAATAGTTCCAACAAGCTTGTTACTTGAAACTCCCAGATGAGACAGTGACCCCAGTTCCCCTATTGACTGTGGGATGCTTCCAGTGAATTCATTGTTTGAAAGCTCTAGGTACTCCAGACTGGTAAGGTTACCAATCCATTGAGGGAATTCGCTGGTGAAAAAATTATTTGATGCTTTGAAATAGCTCAAAGAACTAAGCCTCCCAAGTGAATCAGGTAGTTCTCCACTGAACTGATTATCACTAAAATCCAACCTACTCAGATGCAGGCAGAATCCAATATCAGTGGATAAAGGACCTGAAAACTGGTTACCTTGTAATAGGATCTCCTTCAAGTTATGTATGGATGAAATTCCATTAGGTAAAGACCCAGATAAGGCATTGTTGGATAGATCCAAAGTTCTAAGCCTGGTCAGTGACCAAATCCCATTAAAGTCCACATTACCAGAGAAACGATTATTGGAAAGATTAAGGCTATTCAACGAGGAGCACCTAGACAGTGAACCAGGAACCGACCCATCGAACATGTTCCTAGCTAGAGAAATGTGATGAAGGGAAGAACAAGTATCAAAAAAATTCTCAGGGATTGATCCCGTGAATGAATTCTCAGAAAGATCAAGAAACTTTATTGAATTCATATTCACAAAAGAAGTAGGGACTGAACCAGAAAGAGAATTGTGACTAAGGTTGAGTCTCTCAAGAGTATTTGAAAGAGTAAGAGATGGACTGATACTCCCACTCAAGTTGTTATGAGAAAGGGACAGTACCGTAAGATGCTGCAACTTCTCAAGCCCTCTTCCAATCTTCCCAGATAATCCCAAGCCATCCAATGAGACCTCAGAAACTCTTCCGCTCTGAGGATTGCACTGCACGAACTGCCATGAACATGGACTGGCATCGTCTTCATTCCATGAAGCAAGATAAGAAGAAGGGTCTTGAAGGTCTGATTTGAACACAATCAAGCCAAGAACATCATCATTCAACTGGACAGGCACGTCATTGTTTCCTAAGCATGTCAGAAAACAGGAAACTGAAATCAGAAAACTCAAAACTCTAGATCGAAACTGAGAAATACTCATTCTTGTCCTTCTTCCTCTCGATGGGGCTGGTGGAGTTATCTTTCTATCTTTAGCAGTCAGCTATGATTATGGCTTATTTCTCTTTGGGATAGCATAGTATGTGAAAACTGTAATGACTGGTAGATGTTACACTACATTTGCGAAAACGATTTTACATGTGAGCTCACGAGAAGGAGAGAAGAATATTTTACAAAAATGGCTATTGAAGAAAGCAGAAAATGGGTGAATATGGTATTGTTAGTGTAGTCCGTGATCAAACAGTTTTGGTCCAACAAACGTGGCTAAGCTACTGACAAATTGCCACCCCATTACACCTTACAAGGCCTTTGTCCAAACAAGCCTTTGTCGTGTCCTACAACTTCTACCTCCTTGTGCCTTTCCTTTCTCTCGTTTTCGAATATTCAGTGAGTTAAATATGCAATTTTTTAGTGTAAATTCAAGAATAATTTTGTGAGCATGTATATATATGTTAACTGTTTCCTTGTGAGGTTTTGTAGTTTTACTATCATTCAAATGGGAACAGTTTTTTATTCGTGAGAATGGTGTTGTTGAATGATATGATGCATTGATCTTGATGCCTCTATAAGGAGGAACCACTTTTTAGTTTAAACTACTGATACTATGACACTTCCTTCTCTTGTCTCTGCAGAATGCTGTGTGGTTTGTTTTTCTCTGCTGATTTTAAATTTGAGAAAAGAAAAATAGTCACTCTTCAATCTAGAAAAAAGAATCTCGAATCTGCTACAATAAACTCTGATTTATTAGAGAGAGATTGTAGTTCAAATCAAAATAATATTCTATTTGGTATACATGCAATAAAAAAATAATATATATAGCAGCAACTAGATAACTAGAAAATGTTAATATAGCTTAAGCAAAAGTGTATAAAAAATAAGAAAGTGAATGATAAAATTATACAGAAGAAAATTAAATAATTGAAGTATGTCATGAGAATTTTTTGGTTGCAAATATTGTTTAACCTGAGTCATAGTCAGTCTATTATTATAAGAATGCGTTGCTGTAGATGATGAGATATCTTATAGCTATCTTATAGCTATAGCAGAAGGTGACAAAAACCATGTTGCTATCTTGTGAAATGAAAATCAGATTCAAATTTTCAGTGTATCACCTTTCTAAGTGAGGCAACACATGAAAGCTACCACTTTTACATCCATGGTAGCAGAATATGGAGATTTTTATGTGAATATCTTTACTTCAGGTACAATTTTCTTCTGCCAGATATGTAATTCAGGAAATATATATAAAAATCTGATATGTAAAACTTTGTGATTTGTGATAAATTTTAGTTAATATTGTTAATATTCTCTTATTTGTTACTATAATTGTTGTTTTAAGCTTATTATAAGATATAAAGTTTGAAAAGCAAGAGGAATAAATGTTCTTAACAATAATGTTACCATATAATCTCTTTAAATTTTTAATAACATGTTCAACTTACCTTTCCTGCAATGTTTCCAAAGTCTCTATTCTGACAACAAATAATGAATTGGAATGTAATTGATTCAAATAATGTCAAAGTAATTATATTTACTTTCATTTTTTTATATTATTAATGTTACTTGCTGGTTAGTAGTATGTTTCTTTGATATAGTACATTTCTGATTTTTAAAACTTGGAACATAGTTAGAAATATATAATTAATGTGAAAATTTACATATAAATTTTTTTAAATGTTATGATCCACACCCACACAATTAAAACATAAGGAAATTATTGTAAATATCTTTCAAGGAGACATAAAAATACTAATGAATGAGATATATATATTTTTTAAATGAACATTTTTGTAATGTAGAAAATTCTTAAACTTTATAGAATTTTTACTTATTTTATATCATATTTATTCAAGTTGTTAGTAAGATCAACTAAATTCTGATACTACTGATATTTTTTACTAGAAAAGACACAAATTTTTATCATCAATTAAATATAAACAAACTATTCTTATAAATTTTATTCGTATTACTTATTTTTATCTAATACAAGATTTTTCACTTATCTTGAAGCAGTGAAGTTGTCGTTATTAATAACTTAAAATCTTCACAATAATATATATTATTTAATTTGACTACTCACAACAATATATACTCAAAATCTTCACAATAATTCATAAATTTTTTTATTATATATTATTCAATTTGTTTATTCCTACAGTAAAACTTATTATCTTATAGACAAAAAAAATGCATTGTCTTCCGCAGTTCTTATTCAAAAATCCGTAAAATAAATGAATTTTAGCAAATAATAATATATTAACAGAAATCTTTTAATAATATTTTAATATATAACACTTATTATTTTTTATTAAATTTCGAATATGTTAATATAATAACAAATAAATAATATATTATATGAAAATATTGTAAATCGTTGTAAGATTTTCCATTTTGTTTTTCATTGTAAATGAATGTGTAGCAGAATCCATGAATGTACAGTAAAGTGTACATGAAAAGACAGTGTGAGGATGAAGCAAAGTCGTTTATTAATTGTACTTTCTCACTGTAACTTTTTCATCACGTTAGTTCAGTTTAAGCTATCCTAAGAATCTTCTGCTTCCAATCACATCACATATTTTAAAGAAATGATATTTTCTACACACAAATTTTTTACATACTTTTTATTTATTTTTCTCAAAAATATATTTTCTTTCCTTTTATAACTATTTTATCATTAATATATTATATGTTAAATAAATATAAAAGTATGTTATTTTATCATTATTTCATATTTTACCATATTTTAAGACATTTATATATACAATCCTAAATGTTTTCATCCTGTTAATTTATAGATTAATAGGTTAAGTATAAAATAAAAATATATACATGCTTTTTACACTACCAATATGTATTATTTATCCTATTTTTTATATTTGACTGAAATTATATTTTATCTTTTTGTCAAATCAATACTTATTTAATAATAAATACAAGTTTATAGTTAAATGACGGAATAAAAAACTTTCACAATATTAGTAGATATATGTCTATACAACTTTATTTTCATTCCGTCATCAGAGTTTTAGCAACATAGTATCTAATATGTTTCTTTTTTTTTTTCTAATAAGATTTTTGGGTTTGTCCCACTAATTGAAAACTTAATTTTTTTTAAATGATTAATAATTTAAAAACAAAAAGTGTACTCTTGTTTGTTTTAACTTATTAAAAGATAAAGGAAAATTTCATTCTTTGAACGAATATGATGGATTTCTTTTGATGACAATATCTATATGATTAATTTCTATATTATTTGAATACTTTCTAAAAATATATAATCACCCATAAGAGTAATAGTAATGGTTGAATTTAATTTAATCAAAATATTACTTAAAAAAAGCTTTTCCCACACATTTTACAATACATTTTTAAATATTTGTAAATTGTACCTATTCATTAAATTTGTAATAAAATCCAAAGGTTGGAGTCTCAAGACACTTTTGTAAAACCCTGTAGGTCACCGTATTTAAATGTCATTAAGTTTGGCATTAGCATGATCATCAAATGCTAAATAGTATAATTATACAACATTAGAGCCAAGTTGGATGATAACTCACATATTCTCTTGTTTAGTCAGTTTATGTAATGGTTGAATAACTTATCATTAGATTAAAAAATTATAATTCAATTATGATTTTACTTATCTAATCTTTGTCATTAAAAAATAATCTCAATCAAATTAAAAAAATATTTCCGTTTTAATTTACTACTTTTCCTACTCAACTACTATTGATAATTACATTTATAACTATTTAGGATAAACATATATATGTAACAAAATATAACAAGATTTCATTACTTAGGGTATATTGTTTTTTTTCAAAATTATTTTTAATTATAACTATTTCTTTTATGTGAAATACATCCAACACAGTTATTTTTTTATTATTTTAAATAAATACAAGAAAAAAAATATATTTGTTTTGTTGGTGTGGTGTGGGTCCAACGAACATGGGTTGCGCGTGAATGTGGTCAGAAATCAGAACATAAGATCCAAAATTCATTCACGGGATTCTTCTGTCACACTTTCTCTTTCTCTGTCTCTTTGTCCCCATTTTTCCAATTGCCTCTATCAAATTCCAATTTTAACCAACCATCCTTTCAAAACCCTAATTTAATTTCCGTCTTCTAAATCATCTCCGTTCCCAAAGATTCAATCTTTATCATAAAATCTCTTCGTTATAACAGTTAAAACAAGTCAAACAGAAGAGACATTTTTTTCCCTTTTGCCTAAAAATTTTCCTTTGAAAATGTGCTGATTCAATACTTCAATATTAAATAAACAAAATCTCAAACTCTTTTGGTAGGGTTTTTATTATTTTAATAAAAATTAAAATCTCAATCACATGCTACATTGAAAAATCTAACTATATCAGTTAAAATATTTAAAGTAGAATAACTTAAAATGTTGTGTGTTAGAAGAACAACTGATATCAGAAATATGATAAAATTTTTCTTTTGTGACAAGACACTTACATTTTTTAAAAATATAATTAAAAATATATTTTTTATTTGATATTATTTTT